TAGGAAATAAGGGAGAAAGAGAACAGCTCCAAGCCTTAAGAGCCACCTTAAATAAGCTGCAGCAATAGACCACAGAAAGAGCCCAGACCTCCTTAGGGACCCCGGTACATTCCTTCCAGGCTGGGGACTCAGTCTGGGTCAGAAATTGAAAGAGACCCCCTCAAATCTCAGTGGACTGGCCCCCACATTGTTGTTCTAACAACTCTTACTGCCCTCAAAGTTACAGGCACCACTCCGTGGGTCCATCATTCCAGAGTGAGAAGGGCCCATACTCCAGACAAAGAAATACATCAGTGGAAGGCCCAGCCAGACCTCCAGATCCTCTCTGTCTCTGCATCTGACGATCACGCTCTGACTACACCTGCGCGCCGTGGATCCTGGCCCTCGCGGGAATGGAATCTCTCATTCTGGGCGTTAAACTCTCTGCTGCTGCGCCCTCTGACTAAACTATTCCTCAAAAAGTTACCTTTCTATTGTCGATTAAGTAATCGTTAAGCTGTTTTGCTATGCTTACCTGTCTCTCCCAGCTGAACTCAAGTCTCAGCCTGCATTTCCAAAGCACCTCCGTTATAATGTCTAACTGTACAAAAGTTATAAAGTGCATGGTCATCACGCAAGGGAGCTGTTCGCCCCGGCCCTCCACCCTTAGCACTGGTCCTCTCTCACTCAAATGAGCCAGCCTGAGTGTAATGCTCAGCTGCAAAAATGAATTAGGACTGAGAAAAACTAGATATTTTTTGTTAAGCACAGACTTATCAAGAATCTGAAGGACTTGTTTCAACTTGTACACATAAGGCCCATACAGCCAAATGCATAAAAACATAATCGTTTGTGTTCTTCACAAAGTACTCAGGACTTTGACGAAAAAGTCACAAGGAAAAAATCCTAGTTCAAAGCAATTAAAAGTGTAAATACAAGCCATTATAACCCTATCATAAACCAAAAAGAAGATGCCCCCTAAAACGAAGTGTTTAAAGGGGCATCAGAAGGGAGAGCGATCAAGGAAAATATTCAACACAGCCATCGAGGTCAGCAAACCGCTTTTTCCCTCCAGTTGGCAAAGCCTTCCCGGCTCCCCCCTCCCCTCCTCCGGGCCCTCTGTTGCCCTGCACATGCCCAAATGTTACGTATCAAAATAATATAAATTGCTCCCCTTGCTGTGTCAGACCTTGGGAGATGACTCCCCTCTGAGCCCGCTGGTGTAAAATAAAAACCTCAACACTCCAAGGCCTCCAAGTGCTGCTTGGTTCTTCCGCCAGTGATCCAGTCCAGGTTTTCGAGTATTTTCTGTAACATTAAAATCATGCTTTTGAAGACTAATGACAAAGGCTATGCACACAATAAAAATTTATGAAGATACACAACTATGTACCATATGATCTGACTGTAAAATAAAATGCATAGGCTATGTTAATAGTGGCTACCTCAAGGTAATGAGATCACAGCTAATTTTTTTTATAAATGGTTTATGAGTTTTTTTTTTTTACAATGAACATAAATTACTCATAATCAGAAAAATATATATACATAAAATAAGCTATTATTCTCTAGTTTCCAATTTTAGTGAGTCCAATTTTTAAAAGAATACCATCTACAGCTTATCTTTCATGGAAAAAAAAATAACACCTCTAAAGATGATACCCAATACAGTACAGTATTTCATTATACACTATAACGCTGTGTCAGCAAGATTAGTTATGCCTGACATGACAGTGGTTTATCTTGCCTGATATGATATTAGCTTATCTATAAAACAAACATCGGGACCATCTCCAACTCCAGTATAATAGAAAGACTGCTCTGTCTGAAATTCAGCAAGATTTATTTAAGGGACATTAAAGGTTAAGACCTAATTAGCCCTCCCTAGATATCAGTAGCATGCTTCAGTGTAAAATTTCAAAGCAAATCTTGTTCAAAGTTAGTTCCACAGAAGTAGCAGCAAAAATATAAAATGGGCCTCAACAATCACAGAAAGAAATCTTCCAGTGTTACTAGATCAAATATTTCTGACCCTATTAAGAATTTTTAAAACTGAATTCAAAGAAAATATGGTACATTCTAAAGACCAGAAAGTGGAGTCCCTGTTCATGGGGTGAGTTACTATTTTGCTCATATTTTCTCAGGGAAAGTCACATCATTCATTCTGAGATGTGTTCTAAAATAAAAGGGTTTCTAAACAAATCATAATGTTGGTCATAAGTAACTGTTCTTTCCCCCTCCCCCCAAGAGTCACTGCAGTGGAATGCATTTCGCCATCGGTTTACGCTTCTTGAAGAACCCAACTGTACCTGGCTCGTGTTTATTTTCCTGCAAACATTTAAAGTCCTCTCTGTGCCGGCCCATGAAAGGCCCCAGTGACACAAAGCCTTAAGAGACCCAGGGTTTAATGGGCACCTCGAGAGTCACATAAAACAAAGTTCTAAAATTTTTTCTACTAAGTAGATCATTGGCCAGATATGTAAATCAATGTTAGCAGCATTTGATGGAAACTCTGCTTTTAAAAGGAACGTTCCAGCCTAGGGCCCTCTGTCATCTCACCTATATTCTGCCATCTTCTTTTTCAAGAGAAACTTGGCTCAACAGAGACCGTTAGGCGTATCATGGCAATTGAGAGATGGTTGCTTGGCACTTAATTTCTTATTCTAATATTTGCAATTATTACTTCAATATAAACATTGCATTTAGGAATGGGTACAGATAAAAAATATTCCTAACCTTGTCATTCAATTTCTGTTAAAAGTATTACAAAGTGGGCTCCATTTCTTATGCCTTTGTTACAGAATGTGTTGCAGAAATAATGGCCCCTGTCAGTTTCCTGGTCATGCCCCAAAAAGAACAAGTCCAGGCACTACTCACATTATTCAATATTTTACAGTCACCTATACTTGTTTCAAAACCTCCTCCATAGGCCACAAATCAGAGAGATGAAATCTACAGTTTCCTGACACTGAGAAGTGCAAATGGTTAACAGCTGATGTGTGTGCATCATTATTTTGAAATAAATGAATAGGAAAATGTGCTTCTTCGCCTTTTTTTCATGCTTTAAAATGTTTATTAAATGCTTATTTAATTTTTACAATAACTGTGAGGTAGATTCTATTATTGTGCTTATTGATGGCTGGACAAATTAAAACAAAAAAAGTTATATCATCTGCCAACTGTCAAACAGTACATAAGTGGCAGTCTGTTTCTAACCAGTGCTTTTAACCACTCTATTTAGCCGTATGTATCCCATATAACCTTTGCCTCTAAGGGATATAGCAAACCAAAAGTGTGCATTATTTGTAGGCCCTGAAAGTCTTAATGGGACACAGCCTAGCTTATTCATCTGTGTACTGTCCACGGCTGCTTTCAAGCTTGTATGGCAGAACTGAGTGGTTTTGACAGAGACCCTACAGCCCTTAAAGCTAAAATATTTACTATTCTGGCCATTTACAGAAAGAAGTTGCCAACTCCTGCTGTAGAGTCATAGTTAGGCCTCGTCAAAGCAGTTCCTTTGAGTGAGAACATTTTCCAAGCACCTGAAGGTATGTTTGCACAGGCCTGTGTGTGCTGGCATGAGACAGGCCCATATGCATCTGAACTTAGCTTCAAACTGATGTCACACATTACAAGGGACCTTAGAGTCTTCTGTGAATAGGGGCACTAAGAACCAAGAGGTACACTATACCTAAGTTAGGAGAAGAGCTAATACTAGCCTTTTGACTCTTTTTAAAAATTGGCTTAATGAAATAGGTGTAATGAATTCTAGAAGAGACTTAAAATTGACGTTACATCATTCTGAGGTTAAATAAAATATTCAGTTAAAGAATTAACTGCAGAGCCTAGAAATAGAGAGTGTGCATGGGAATAAATGCCCACTCAGAATCACGGAGCTTTGCATTTTATTTAAAGAGCAAATGACTGTGGCAGGTGACTCTTGCCTGTAGCCTGTTTGCTGCATGTATGTTCGAAAGATTCTAAGGCAGTAGTACTTTACCTGCAGATGATCAGAGCCAGTTTACAACTGAGCTGAACTAGCCCAGGGAGCTGTCAAGTCTTTACTTCAGGTAAGTTTTGCAATGGTGTGACAATAATTTCAAAAGGCTTGAGTGGAAGAAATATCCATGTTTTTCTCTTCTCAATTTTTAAAATAGGAGATATAAAATGAGCACACAAAAAAAAACCATTGACCATGAACTATGTCTTTTAGGCTCATACAGATTATTTGACGTGGCACCAGAAGGATGTTCTGGGGACATGAGTTACCCATGCAAGCCCAAAATTGCCACCCATTAGCAAAGCACAGGGTAACATATGGGCTGCCCTGAGCCCACAGGACAATGAATGACACTCACATTTATTTTCAATGAACTTCCAAGAGATGCTTTGTCATACTTCACTGTGAACTCATGTTCCTTCAGGGCTAAGTGCACTATCACGGTACTGTCACCCTACATTGCTATAACTAAAATTTCATTTTTGTATCATATCATGTTTTATATTGATTACATTAATCCTGTCTTAGATTTATTTGTAGGTCATTACATAACATCTGTCGTATTATCTTAGTTCCTATTTTTTACCACAGTGGCTCTTCCCAGATATATTAACTCTTTTATTCAGCAAACATCCTTTAAAGTTATATATTATAACTCAATGCATCAAGCTCCCTTAAATATCTACAATGAGCAAAATAAACTCTCTCTTTTAAAAAGCTGAGGATGTTGTACATAAACGCAGTGAATTCTCTTAACGCAAAGAGAGCGTGTGCTTTGCATTTCCTGCTGCATCACACAGGACTCTGCAGACCCCGAGACGTGTCACAGCGGCCAATGGCACGGGCAGTCCCCAGCGGCGTTTTCTTTTCCTTTGTGTATACAGTCGGCAAGTGTGACGATTGGACTTGACAGCTTCAGTTTGGAACAGAGGAAACCTGGCTCTTTGGACCGACTTCTGGTTCTGGTACTAAAGTTCAGACACTTGAATAAATGACCATGGAGGAAAATAAGGCACTTTCTTTAGACTGATTCCAATACCAGGTTTGGAGCGCTGGGGACTCTTGGGGCCAAGTTCTGCAGGGTCGCGACCTCCCGGCTGGGGAGCCGCGCCCCGGGGACGGGCGGCGCGGGCACGGCACCCCGGGCCGGCTGCTCGGGCCGCCCGGCGGGGCCCTCGTGGGGCAGCCGCGCCCCGGCCCCGTCGGGGACAGAGCCCCTCCGCGGCCCTGGGGGCGCGCGGGCCCCGCCGGGACGCCGGCTGCCCCCGAGCCGGGACCGGCTCCCAGCGCCGCGGCGCCCCCCGGGCAGCAGGTCGCCGGCCTGCCCGCGCCCCCTCCCCGGGCGCTGCGGGCCCCGCGCGGCGGCCCGGCCGGCGCCCCCTGGCGGCCTCCAGGCGTCGGGCTCCCCCGCGGGCGCCGAGGGCACACGGACTGGGGCGGCGGCCGCGCGCCACCCCCTGCCTTTCCTATAGTAGTAAAAAATAAGAGAAAGAGAAATAACAAAAGCGAAAGGTAGAAAAGCCAGGAAAGCCAGTAGAGACTTCCGGGTGTGAAAAAAGCTGCAGTGGGCGCACAGGGTGAACTCCTCCGGACAAAATCTGCGCAGCGTTTCAGGACCTGGGAAGCCATTGTCGTCAATGATTTTCCTGTAATGCTTCATGGAGGGTTTGGGCTCAAACTGATTTGCAGCGTAACGGAAGAAGCCGAACTTCGGGGCCGTGCGATCACTAAATGAATAAGCAAAGTATCCACGAAGATTGATACCATCCAACGTATAGGCTAGAAAAACAAAAGGACGGGAGAAGAGTTATTAAAATATTTTGCACACAATATTTTACTTTTCTACAATCTTGGTGCATCAGGGAAAATTTCAATACCATTTAATAAAACTTCGGACTCAATTAGATTTCATCAGGAAAGGCTTCTTTTAGGCGAATAGGCAAATAGGCAAACATCAAGACAAATAGCGAACTACATTTACCATAGTAGGTTTTTCATAGCTAAACCCACGTGATGTACTTGGGTTAAATCTCCATGTCCACAGCAAACTAAGTGTCCATCAGCAGAGGAATGCATAAAGATGTGGCTCATATACACAATAGAATACTATTCAGCCATAAGACACAAACAAATCCTACCATTTGCAACAACATGGATGGAGCTAGAGGGTATTATGCTCAGTGAAATAAGCCAGGCAGAGAAAGACAAGTACCAAATGATTTCTCTCATTTGTGGAGTACAACAATGAAGCAAAACCGAAGGAACAAAACAGCAGCAGACACAGACTCCAAGAAGGGACTGGCGATTACCAAAGGGGAGGGGTAGAGGGGTGGGGGAGGGAAGGAGAAGGGGATTGAGGGTATTATGATTAGTACACATAGTGTGGCCGGGATCATGGGGAAGACAGCGTAACACAGAGAAGACAAGTAGTGACTCTGTGGCATCTTACTACACTGATGGACAGTGACTGCAGTGGGGTATGAGAGGGCTCGATAATATGGGGAGGGGGGGTAGTAACCACATTGTTTTTCATGTGAAAGCTTCATAAGAGTGTATATCAGTAATATATTAATTAAAAAATTGTACAAAAAAAAAATCTCCATGTCCATGAAGCAGGCAAGGCTGCTAGGAAGCCATCTGAGATGCAGGACAAGACAGTCCATGCTTATCTAAGCCCCAAGTAGATGCTTCGGAGTTTCAGTCTTCCCCTTTTAGCTGACCTCCTTTATCCCTGGGGAAATACCAGCTTTTCGATGGCAAGGAATGGCTAGCACATGGCACTGAGGATGCCAGTGAGTGTGTCTACTTGAGACTTTCTATCAGGCGTCACGCCCTCGGGTGACAGAGCCTTCCAGGCCCAGCTGTTTCAGGGGCTCCTTACCTTTCAGAGCCTCGTTGACATAATTCTGCGTGTAATACACCCTCAGCTTGTCGTGGGCTGCCTGTGGGTCATCATCGATGCCATTGGACAGCACGTACACGGGCAGGTCTCCGTACTTCAGCTTTAGCCAGCTCAGCACCCTCCGCAAGCCCCAGGGAACTACTGCCACCTGGCTGGGAGAGTTGAGCCAGGTGCTGTCGGTCATTTCCTGCACTTGTAGGTAGTCGTTATACTTGACTGGGTCTTCTTTCTCCCAATCTACAAGGATGGTGGTGTAATGGCTCAGGGCCAAAAAGTCAAAGGAACCCCGGATTAGCTTTTTTTCATCTTCAGTGAAATACGGTAGAAGGAAATTTCTTTGGTTCAGCCACTCCCTCATCACCTGGGGATAATCTCCGGAACCAAAAATGGGTTCGGCCAGCCAGCCAATGTCAAATTCCAAAACCCTTTCTGCCACTTCTTTGTCCTTTTGGGAGAAAGGGCAGGCCGGCTCTATCCAGTCGGCCTGCAAGGCTATGGATATCTTACCCTTCTGAGTGCGCCTGAACTTCTCATCGTACAGGCGCCAGGCTAACGCATGGGCCTTCAGAAGATTGTGCCCTGCGCTGTAGGTCATGTTCCAAGTGGACGGCTCGCCTATTGTGACCCAAAACTTGACGTGGCGGCCAAGACCTTTAAAGCACAGTCCGGCATACTCTGCAAAGGCCAGGGCGGTGTGGGGATTCTCCCAGGCGCCGTGCGTGGCCAGGGGCCGTGGCAGCTCCTGGTGCAGGGCAGCGGGTCGCCACAGGGCCACCACGGGCGTGATGTTGGCACGCAGGAGCTCACTGACCACGCAGCGGTAGTAGCGCAGGACCGTGCGGTTCACCTGGGACTGGTTACCTAGCGGCAGGATCAGAGCCCAGTCCAAGGAGAAGTGAAAATGGGAAACATGCATCTGCTGGAGTAAGGAAATCTGGGGTCCGATGGCCGCAAAGTCAGTGCAGTAGGACTTCCTCCTCTTGGTCACGACCCCATCCACCCTAATAAACCTCTTACTGTGGTGCACATCCCACAGGTAAACATTCTGGTCCGTAAACTGAGACAGAGTGGTGTCCACCTAGGAGGAGCAGAGCAGGCATTAGCTGGCCCTGCGCCAGTCCTGCAAGAAGTAACGCAACGCAATTCTTTCAGCGAAACTAACAAGCAAGAAGGGCAAAAATGGAAGCCTAGATTTCTAGCTGACGGGTTAAGCTCTTTTTCATAAATGGTGAGTTCCTGAAGAGAACATCCCACTTTTTGTAATGCCCATTTCTTTTACCTATAGTTTTCTCTAACTCTTGAACTGTTCAGCAAGAAATCTGGATTTTTGAGGTCACTTCAGATGACAAACGTTTATGATTCTCACACATCTCTGGTCAGCATTAAGCAAGCAGAAGACATTTGCACAGTTTTTTTTTTAATGTAAGACATCACTAATGAACTAGAAAAGAAGAACAAATGAGGTCCAAAGTCAGTAGAAGGAGGGACATAATAAAGATTAGAGCAGAAATAAATAAAATCAAGAAGAAAGAAACAATAAAATCAATGAAAGCAAGAGCTGGTTCTTTGAGAAAATAAACAAAATAGATAAACCCCTAGCCAGACTTATCAAGAAAAAAAGAGAGTCTACTCACATAAACAGAATCAGAAATGAGAAAGGAAAAATCACTACGGACACCACAGAATTACAAAGAATTATTAGAGAATATTATGAAAAATTATATGCTAACAAACTCGATAACCTAGAAGAAATGGACAACTTTCTAGAAAAATACAACCTTCCAAGGCTGACCCAGAAAGAAACAGAAAATCTGAACAGACCAATTACCAGCAAAGAAATTGAACTGGTAATCAAAAAACTACCTAAGAATAAACATCTGTCCAGATGGCTTCACTGCTGAATTTTATCAAACATTTAGTGAAGACCTAATGCCCATCCTCCTTAAAGTTTTCCAAAGAGTAGAAGAGGAGGGAATACTCCCAAACTCATTCTATGAGGCCAGCATCACTCTAATACCAAAACCAGGCAAAGACCCCACATAAAAAGAAAACTACAGACCAATATCCCTGATGAACATAGATGCAAAAATACTCAACAAAATATTAGCGAACCGAATTCAAAAATACATCAAAAAGATCATCCATCATGATCAAGTAGGATTTATTCCAGGGACGCAAGGATGGTACAACATTCGAAAATCCATCAACATCATCCACCACATCAACAAAAAGAAGGACAAAAACCACATGATCATCTCCATAGATGCTGAAAAAGCATTTGACAAAATTCAACATCCATTCATGATAAAAACTCTCAGCAAAATGGGTATAGAGGGCAAGTACCTCAACATAATAAAGGCCATATATGATAAACCCACAGCCA